TCTGCAAGTTTTACTGTCGTTCCAGAAGCTGAACTCAGGGATCCCCATGAAAGAATCCTTTATCATGGTGAGCCCCTTTTGGCCGAGCTCGCCATAAAACAGGCACCATGCGGATTCCCCCAGCTCCGTCCAAGCGTCACTTGGCCAACCCCGAAGCAGCGGCGGCCAGAAGTCGGACTGAAAGTGGGGCTCCAGCGAATAGCTGAGGCGAGAGTCGATGGACCACTGCTACAATCGGAAAGGCTCAACAGCACGAAAGGCATAGGCGTAGGCAAAGTAAGTGAAGTGTAAGCAGCTAACCCAAAAGGGCCGATACACAAAAGCGGCCACCCCCTTTTTGAGTCCAAGCATTGTGTAGATGCCGGGGCTTCCCCTCCCCTTCTGTCAGGTTGAAAAACCGGTCTGGAGCGGGTGTGACATCCCATCCAGCAAAGTGGGATTAGCGCCGGCCGGCGCGCCACAAAATAAGCAGGCAAATGGGTAGCCGCCCAGCCCAGGCACCCATCCCACCGGCTTCACTCGACCCCAGAAAACATCGGGGGCAGTCCCAAAACAAAACCAAGAGGGCACCCATCTCCTCGCCGTGGATGAATGGCTGGGAAGGAGTCCGGCATGCCCGAGATGCGTGGTAGCCAGCCTTGTCAAGGGGGACAAGCCGATCCTGGGCATCGGGTGATGGGCACGACCATCCTGAAAGCTTCCGACGCCTCCAGGCACAACCCTGCCCGAACCGCCGCCTCCAGCACGTCCCTCGAGCTCCATCTCCGCAAGCTTGATCTCCTCCTCGGAGAGGCGCTGATCCTCCACAAGCTCAAACGAGGTTGCTGAGGTAGAGGATGCCGTTGCGAAGTGGAAGGGAGCGGGAGCGAAGGCGAAAGCTTATTTTAAGTTTTGGACCGGTTGGTCCGAGCTTGAGCCAAAATGGCAAGTGCCACTTTGGTCAAGCATTTCTCACACAAGCCATGTTTCACATGTTCCAACATTAGCAAAGTAAATGAAGTAAGTGAAGTATCTTCGGTATGTGAAGTATGTTAAGTATGTCAAGTATTAGAAGTATGTGAAGTATGTCACGCGGCCTCCTGCGGGTGGGGAATTCCTGAGATGGCGCCGCGTCAGCATCCAGCATCCATGCCCAGTCAGCACCTGGGGGCTTGATGCGAGCGGAGAAAGAAGCAGAAAGAACAACAGGGCTCAAAGAATCTTGCATACGTAAATTCCATTCACCAGAAATTCCATATGGATTTATAGTGACTAGTGGGACACCCGCTCTCCAAAGAAGGAAGCCCAAACAAAAAGCTAGGATTCTCTGAGAACCCATACTAGGGATGGACAAAATCCTGCACCAACGTCCAGAAACCCTGGTTTCTGATACGATTCCTCTGTGAATACCACCAAAGAATGGTTCGAACAACAGGCTTTCAAAGTGGTGCGGTTTCCCCCCCCCCCCCCGCTTTTTTCCTATTTCGTAACCATTCACAGTACTACATCCATCCTTTAAAGGATTCAAATGGGTATGGGTCAAAATTGAACCACCAGCGGGCCGCAAATTTTAGTCCTTGGTTCCATTCACCAGGGTTCTATTTTGGGTACCGGTTTTTGACCCACAGCCAAATATGTGGCAACGACCATCATGGCCAACCCTACTGCTACCCGACACGAACCAGACGGTGTAAGGTAGGTTCGGGGTGGGTTGGAGCTTGGTTTAGGGTTGGGTTCATGGGCTCAGGGCGGCTGCGTTTAGGCTTTGGCAGGCTTTCTGCAGCTCAAGGGCGGCTTAGTGCTGGTTTACTGCGGTACTACGTGTTGATGGGCATCCTTGTACAGGAAAGGCGCCCTGCCCTGGCTCCTGCCCAGAGCAGTTCGCTTGAATTGGCCAACCGTTGCTCTGTGTCGGACGGGGAACTGCGGCGCCCCAACAGCAACCCCCTTGCCTTGGGGCCGTTGTTCTTCCGTCTCAACCCCGAACGAACAAAGAAATCCAAAGCCCATCAAACCCCGGAATGGCCGGAGAAACTTGGAATCGCTAAAGAAGGTCAGATGGCTATCGGGAATCCCAGTGTCAGTGCCCAGGGATTCCAATGTTTTGGGGTAATGAACCACCTGGTTTAAGTCTACCCTGGGGCAGTCAAAAGTGGAACCCGGCCTTTTGGTAGGTTTCGTTTCTTCAGATAGAAACCTTAAGCCGCCGCAAAGCCAAAGCCACAACTAAACCAACCTTAAGCCAAACCTAGACCCACCCTACATCTGCCCTTAACACATCCTAAGCCAACCCTCGGCAAACCTTTGAGCAATCTCAAAACAAACCCTAAGAAAACCCCAAGCCTCCCCAAGCCTAAACCCACCTTGAGCCATCACTAAATCCACCGTAAACCAGCCTTGGCAAGCCCTAGCCAAACCCCGCAACAGCCCTAAGCCAACAATAAAACTCGTTAGGCCGAGAGTGGGTTAAGAGTTGGGTTAAGGTTGGTTTGTAGGATTGGCTGGGGTGGGGTTGATACTTGGCAAGGTGGGCTTTGGTTGTAAGCCAACAATCCGGCAAAGCTGCCAAGAGCCGTTAAGAGCCGCCAAAAGCGGCAATGTCCACGAAAAACAACGAAAACCCGAAGTCGAAAAGCCACCAAAGCAAAAACATTGCCCTCCTCTAACATCCCCAGCCATGGTGCCAGTCCAATTGCCCCAGTGCTTGGCCGCCTCGTCAGGATCTTACACCCATCGGTCTGAACAAGTATGATGTCCTCATGTCAAGCACTGGCGTCATTCTACAGAACTGTGCCTTGAACCGGGCCAACCAGAATCTGACAGCCCCCAAGTGGGTGCTAGCTCCATTTGTGTTGGCTAAGGCAAATTCGGGTCGCCCAGGTTCCCCGTTCCCCAATTTGACGCGCCCACTTGGAGGCTTCGAGCGCCTTCCACGGAAGCCCGGCTCTCCATAAAATCCACTTGAAGAAGCTTCTGGGCACATGACCAAAGTCCCAAAACCGTCAAACCCCCCCCAAAAAAAAATGCCTTTCACACCCCAAAAAACCGGGCAATTGCCCATCTTGGGCCTTCCTTCCCCCAAAACCCAACGGCTCATTCCGCGGCTTCCGCCGGCTTCTCCCCCGCTCCGGCGCGCCTGCAGCTGCTGCTGCTGCTCCGACCGCAGCTTCTCCGCGGCGGAGGCCCAGCGCCGCACCGCGCGCTTGGCGCCGGTGGCGACGTTCACCTGGCGGTCGGCGGCTTCGGGGCGGGCGGCTTCCGGGGCGGCGGCTTCCGGGGGCGGCTTCGCGCTGGGGGGGTTGCTCGAAGTCACACTATTCCCCACTACGTCAAGATGTGCACAGAACAATTAGGCCCATTCAGTCCACGCTCTTCTCTTCGTTGAATTCCTGCATACACATCGTTCTCGGACAGGCATCGACCGCCGGCTCCCATGTCAAGCCCACCTGCTCAGCGTGGCACGGCCCCGCGGCAGCATCCTGACATCGCGTTGGGTCGAATCCTGCCTTCGTCCTCTCTATCAGCCAAACTCCTCTCTCTGCAGAATTGCAGCATACCAAGTCTGCGTCTGCCTCAAATTGCGCATGCGACCGTCGTGCCCCTTTCAGGGCCTGCAAGCGGCGGCCCACAATGCCCAAGTCAACCCGGTACTGATTTCCACCTGGGCCATGCGTTCACATCACGGCCCCCTTTGCTCTCCACAGTTCAGTCGTTACGTTTTCCTAAGAGGACTCGGCATCTTGGGCGTTGCGGCGATTTGTCCTCTGAATCCACCAAAACCTACCCAAAGAAACAGACTGTTGCTCAGAGCCCAAGGCAACCTCTATAGCCGACAAAGCAATCATCACAGGGGTATGGGTCAAAACTAAACGACCAGGAGACCGCAGGTTTTAGTCCTTGCTACCATTGACCAGGGTTCCATTTTTGATACCTCTTTGTGACCCACGCCCACGAATGCTTCTGTGTTGCACCAGAGCGAAATGTGAAGCGACATTGCTGCCAGAGCCACCCCGCCGGAATTGCACCGATGACCATCCCAGACAGAAAGCCTGCGGGCACATCATGGCCCCCAAATACATGCTCCCTGTGTGCGATACCCCTTGAAAGCCTCACCCAAAAGGAACACGCCCCGACCTGCTCCAAAATGGATGAGAAGGGCCACTGGAAGTCAACCCAGTTGCTCGCAGCGTCTCCAATGTTGCCTTGGTTGCAGCCAAATCGATTTTACCGTGCATTCTTGCTTTAGTTTTGTCATTTCGCAAGATCCTAGGTTCTTTTGGGACCTGTTCAGCGTTGATATGAGTCGATATGTGCCGGCTCGAAAGAAACTGAGGATTGCCAAAGAGGGTCACCATTCCTCCTCCCATTCATCCATTCATCCTGCAGGCCCTGTTGCTTGCTTCGACCCTGCGCTGCAAAGCCAGTCTTCTGGGGTCAATCTATGAAAAAGGGCACCGCGACACATTGGCCCTGCGGCTCACCCCGAATCACCTCTCTGCTCAAGTCACAACAAATAGCACACACAAGGAAACATGACCTCGCCACCATAAGACTGCAGTTCTGAACTAAAGGCCGACCAACGGGCAGAAACGGGCCACTGTTCAGCCAGCGAAAAAAGAGCGCGACTTCACTTCACTTGCTGCCAAGGCACACTGCCAGTACCCTTTTTGCCACGCAGTGGCTGGCAGCATGGGAAGATGTGTCATGAGAAGCCTTCGCGTCTGACAGTTCGGAGTAGCTTAAGGGTGCTGAAAATGCTGATGCAGCTGGTTGCTCTCAGGTTGCATGTCTTTCCGTCTCTTTCTTTCTTATTTGTTCCGCATAATTCCTGCCTCTTGGCGCTGCGTTGTGGCCGCGGCGATTTGTTTGCCCGGGTCTTTTTCAAGCCTGCCTTGAGGGGTCTTTCACCCGCTGAGGCAACCGCTGGCACCTGGACCCATGAGCGCGATCCGTGGCAGCCCCGCTCGGGAACCCCACGGGACAGGTGCTGAGGTGCTAGAGGCGCTGCTCAGCACCCCCGCCTCGCGAACCGGGATGCCTCCGCCTGGTCAGCGGCCAGCGCCCATTTGGGTCTTGCCAAAAAAAGGCGACTTTCAATATGGAGGCATGCGTTTTCCTTTTTTTTAAACATTGGAGGCATTTTTTGCGTTTTCCTTGTTTTTTTTTTTACATTGGAGGCATTTTTTGCGTTTTCTTTTTTTTTAAACATGAATCAGCCATCTGAAAGACGGCTCCCCGCCTCTGTTCGCTTCTCGCCTTACATCTGCGCCATCTTGAAACCTAAGGCTCTCAACCCAAAGCGTCCGATCAAAACGCAGCCAAGTCCGCGACCCGACGGCGCACAGCTCCTTGGATGGACTGCCCGCCGCTTGCACCGCAGAAAGAGACCGCAGGATCAGATCCAAATCTCCGCACACGGCAGAATATGAGAAATCACGAGGCAGGCAGAAGCCCAAGCCGAATAAATCTCCGAAGAAAATCGCTCAAAAGCTCTCAAATGGCTACTTTCTACCATTCCCCCTCCCAAAAAAAAAGCAAAAAGGAAAGAAAACGCTGCATTTCACCCCCCCCCCCTCCCCCTGCCGAGGGTCGGCCCGCGGCACTTCGCAGCCACCGCGCAAAGGCACGGCAGCCTCTCCTGCACACACCACGCCCGGCAGAGATGCACAAGGTTGGCCGGTTCTGAGGCTCCGGTTTAAAGGGCACCACCAGAGAAGGTATCCCCAAGCCTCCAGAACCCTAGCCAGAAGCCAGCCAGAAGCCGCTTCAAACCACTCCAAGCAGCCTATCTGCCAGATGTTGCGGAAAATGAAGAGATAATGAACAGAAACAGAACAAAACGCTTCTGAAAATGAAAAGCGTTCGACATGAAGGCAGTACATAGTTGTCCCCTGAGTACCATGATGAAACTGTGTAATTTCGAATGTGGGAGCGTGGTACGCAATTGGATAAGTTGCGCAACAAGCCCAGGCTGAGCAAGCACTTCTGTCTGTTCAATCACTGCAGCTTCCCAACAAAGCGGGTGCACCAGCCTGCGCTGCCAGCTGCAGCATGCGCGAGTGCCTACCGGAGAATCTCTGGGCAAGCCTTTCCTTCACCTTTCAACTATTTCTATCCTAAAACATCAAGGAGTGGAATAAGAGGCGGCGGTTGCATAGACTGATGGGTCAAAACCAGAGAAGCAAAAGGAAAGGCTCAAAGGAGCAAACATGTCAAACTCAGGAAGAAGCAGAGATAAGGTTCAAACAACCGATGCCATGATGGCCGAAGCTCCAAGGTGGTCCACACCTAAGGGCGGCTTTTGGTGAATCTGTCGGAACGCAGAAACCATTCAATCCATGCCCTTCCCAAGCCACTCTCTTTGACAGGAGCCTCGGCACTCCCAGGGCCTGGCGAGTGAGCTCCGGAGCTCCGAGCGGGTTGGGATGGTTCCGGGCCGCAGGATGCTGGGTGTCTCGGATAGGGTTGGTCAAATTCACGTGGGGGTTCGGGCGGGATTTCGAGGCATAGGGCGGGATTTCGAGCTCCAGAGCCGCGACCCGGCAGGAAGGACTGCGGTTGCGGCTTGCCGGGCTTACTTTTTGCCGGAAGAAGTGGGTCCGTTTCCTCCGGCCCGGCCCTCCGAGCCTGGCCAAGCTCCGGCATCGCCTCCGGCACACGCCTGAGACGCGCCCAGAGAAACACGTCAGCGTGCAAAAACGAGAAGCGAGTGAAAAAAAAAAAAAAAACGACCAAAGGATTGGAGATTTGCCGGTCTCTGATTTTTGTACACATTGTTTGAGCTGGAGGAGGCCGTTCAGTGGACATCTCATCTGCACATCTCATCTGCCCTGTTCAGCTGGCGCCCCCGCCTGCCCCTCGCCATTTGCACTTGGCCAGGTGCCGCGGCCTCCATGGGCTGGGTATGGCCTCAGAAACAGGTCATGTGTATATTCTAGTGTGGGGACAGTAAAGAAGTGAAAAAAAGATGCCTTCACATGGGGGTTGATCAATATGCCGTTCGACCCCGAAATGACCAATTTCCCCATGTGGGACATAGAGTCGTTTTAGTGGCCTTTTGATCAACCCCCACATAGTGACCCAACCTTGGCATTCCTCGAAAGCAAAGTCTGGGTTCATTGGCTGCCAGGGCAACCGCTACGAACCCCTCTCCAAAATCCTATCGACCACACAGTTGCAAAGGCACCCGAAAAAAACAGCAACGAGAATGAATGTTTGTCCCAGCAAGATCAGGGGTCTGTCCCAACATGCCGGAAAAGGAACCCACGTTCGACTGCGGTTTAAAGTAGCTACCCACCCAGGTTCCAACTCCTCGCGGGCCATTCCGAGCCCCAAGCCGGCGGCTCCGGGTCCAAGCCACAGGGCAGCTGGCGACATGAGGCTTGACGAAGAGACCCTCTTCTTTCGGAGTCAGAGTTGGAGAGGGCGTTTTTTCCAACATCCTCCTCCCACCTTGGAATGGGCCTCTTCTTAATTTTCAGCTTTCTACCCGCCTCCGGGCCTCGGTGTCGAGGGTTCGGGTTCGAAAACTCATGAACGAAAATCCCCGTCCGCTCAAGGCCAGCCCCAGCGCACCTCCCCAAGTGCAGGGATGAAGTCGGGGATAAATGGCTTCAATTCCTCAGTCGCAAAAAACCAGAGCGTGCGAAGGGATGCGGCCGCCCGATTTGCTGGAAAAGGGCCAAACGCCTCAATGCCATCCCAAAGCTGAGACGGTTGACCCCTCGCAATGTACCCCTAATTTCTACGGGATCAATGGAGAGGTACATGACAGCCCCGCCCCTACCTTTTCATGTCTCTGGGTCCAATTCAACACTGGGGACACCTTCCGGCTTTCAACTTTCGGGTTTCCCTTTCCCCATCCAACCAGGGGTCCTTCCGTCAATACGGAGCTGCACATCCAACGAAGACTGAGCGTCGGTGTGTAGCACCACCTCCCTGGGCTTAAAGGACATCTCCAGCAGCTGCTGGATCTGCTGGGCAGTAACCTCCTCCGAAGCTTCCTGCGCCCCCAAAGGCGGGGTGGGACAACCCCCAAGAAACCTAGGGACGTGGCAAAGAAACTGCTTGGCTTCTTGGCTTGGGGTCTAACTGCAAAAACATGGTTGAGATCAAATGTTGCTGGAAAGAGTTCAGCACATGGCGCCGCAAAGCTGCTTGCGCAGTGCCCACCCGGAGACAAGCCCTGCCTCCTGACCTCAGCACTCAAGTGGAGCATCAACCGTCAAAGAGAGTTCTTCGCTCATACACCTCAGACTGTGGATGCGAACCTACGCTCACCAGGGGCCTCTTTTTAGCACTGAGTGAATCTCTTGGTGTGCCTCGTTTCCACAAGGCGCATACTGGCGCCCGCACTCTGCATGCGAACCTGCTCCACCTGCGTGCCGCGTGCCGCCTTGTCGTTTCCTTCAGTACTCTGAGGCTGATTTGTTATCACGCGATCCACGAATCTTGGCAACCCTCATCAGCCCTCCCAAAATCAGTCGACGCATCGCACAATGCAAGAGCGATCCCCAGCATTGGGCGAAACTAGTGCACGAGCAATCACTTGTTCGTGCCTATGCCCACTTACGTGGCATCATGGGGCGATATCCGACACCACTCCAAGTCCAACTGCTGAGCAAGCATCCTGGATCTCAGACTTACCTAGCTATTCTTGTCCGCATCGTTTCCTTCAGCACTCTGAGGCTGATTTGTCATCACGCGATCCACGAATCTTGGCAACCCGCATCAGCCATCCCAAAATCAGTCGACGCATCGCACAATCCAACCCAGTTCAACATGGAACACCTGCAAAGTGAAAGAGCATTGGGCGAAACTAGTGCACGAGCAATCACGTGTTCGTGCCTATGCCCACTTGCGTGGCATCATGGGGCGATATCCGACACCACTCCAAGTCCAACTGCTGAGTAAGCATCCTGGATCTCAGACGTACCTAGCTATTCTTGTCCGCATCGTTTCCTTCAGCACTCTGAGGCTGATTTGTCATCACGCGATCCACGAATCTTGGCAACCCTCATCAGCCCTCCCAAAATCAGTCGACGCATCGCACAATGCAAGAGCGATCCCCAGCATTGGGCGAAACTAGTGCACGAGCAATCACTTGTTCGTGCCTATGCCCACTTATGTGGCATCATGGGGCGATATCCGACACCACTCCAAGTCCAACTGCTGAGCAAGCATCCTGGATCTCAGACTTACCTAGCTATTCTTGTCCGCATCGTTTCCTTCAGCACTCTGAGGCTGATTTGTCATCACGCGATCAACGAATCTTGGCAACCCTCATCAGCCATCCCAAAATCAGTCGACGCATCGCACAATCCAACCCAGTTCAACATGGAACACCTGCAAAGTGCAAGAGCGATCCCCAGCATTGGGCGAAACTAGTGCACGAGCAATCATTTGTTCGTGCCTATGCCCACTTGCGTGGCATCATGGGGCGATATCCGACACCACTCCAAGTCCAACTGCTGAGCAAGCATCCTGGATCTCAGACTTACCTAGCTATTCTTGTCCGCATCGTTTCCTTCAGCACTCTGAGGCTGATTGTTCATCACGCGATCCACGAATCTTGGCAACCCGCATCAGCCATCCCAAAATCAGTCGACGCATCGCACAATCCAACCCAGGTCAACTTGGAACACTTGCAAAGTGAAAGAGCGATCCCCAGCATTGGGCGAAACTAGCGTACGAGCAATCACTTGTTCGTGCCTTTGCACACTTGCGTGGCAGCATGGGGCGATATCCGACACCACTCCCAGGCCAACTGCTGAGCAAGCATCCTGGATCTCAGACTTACCTAGCTATTCTTGTCCGCATCGTTTCCTTCAGCACTCTGAGGCTGATTTGTCATCACGCGATCAACGAATCTTGGCAACCCTCATCAGCCATCCCAAAATCAGTCGACGCATCGCACAATCCAACCCAGTTCAACATGGAACACCTGCAAAGTGCAAGAGCGATCCCCAGCATTGGGCGAAACTAGTGCACGAGCAATCATTTGTTCGTGCCTATGCCCACTTGCGTGGCATCATGGGGCGATATCCGACACCACTCCAAGTCCAACTGCTGAGCAAGCATCCTGGATCTCAGACTTACCTAGCTATTCTTGTCCGCATCGTTTCCTTCAGCACTCTGAGGCTGATTTGTCATCACGCGATCCACGAATCTTGGCAACCCTCATCAGCCCTCCCAAAATCAGTCGACGCATCGCACAATGCAAGAGCGATCCCCAGCATTGGGCGAAACTAGTGCACGAGCAATCACTTGTTCGTGCCTATGCCCACTTATGTGGCATCATGGGGCGATATCCGACACCACTCCAAGTCCAACTGCTGAGCAAGCATCCTGGATCTCAGACTTACCTAGCTATTCTTGTCCGCATCGTTTCCTTCAGCACTCTGAGGCTGATTGTTCATCACGCGATCCACGAATCTTGGCAACCCGCATCAGCCATCCCAAAATCAGTCGACGCATCGCACAATCCAACCCAGTTCAACATGGAACACCTGCAAAGTGAAAGAGCGATCCCCAGCATTGGGCGAAACTAGTGCACGAGCAATCACTTGTTCGGCCTATGCCCACTTACGTGGCATCATGGGGCGATATGCGACACCACTCCCTGTCCAACTGCTGAGCGAGCATCCTGGATCTCAGACTTACCTAGCTATTCTTGTCCGCATCGTTTCCTTCAGCACTCTGAAGCTCGTGAAGCTTGCCATCCGCTCATGGAGACATGACGTGGTGCCCCCGCCTGGCTGGTCGCCTGGTGGAGCCACCACACCGGCTCGAGGCAAATGGACTCCAAGGCAGCATGCCTGGGATTCGAAAGCGGCCAGAATATGCTTCTAGCCCGATGGACCCAGAAGCTTTTCGGATTTCTTGTGGCCTCGCCTCGCATCTCCTTTCTTCCGATTTTCTGCCCCGACTTGCGGAGTCTGAACTTGCGGAGTCTGGGGCCATGGCTTTGGCAGGCAGCGCCTGGTGTACTCTCTGCTTTGCTTTGCCAAGAAGTGAAGGCAACACAAGGCAACCGCACACCAAAAGCTACGAGGCCGTCTGAAATCTCCAGGCTTCGGCTTTCGCGCTCAGCCCGGGTAAAAAAAGAGAAGGAAACCGCCTCTGCGCCGCACGGATGGCGGCCACGACCCGCAAGTCGCCTCGCGCGGATCGGGCGAGATGGGGCCAAAAGGGCACCCGGAAGCGAGGCGAGCTGCGAGACCGTGTGATCTTGGAAGTAGGTGTCCTTTTTGGGAAAATAGATGGCCCTGGTAGTTGATTGAACCACCAGGTAAACCAGCGCCCTCTTTTTTTCAACCCAATCAACCAAAAAGGACACCTATGTGCGAGACCCAGCGCCTGGTGGCAAGGCCAGGCGCGGGAAGTCCTGAAAGCATTCATTCCAACAGCCGATCACCCGGCACAAAGACCTTGCCTTCTGACATGTGTCTCTGAAAGCCAAAAACTCCGAAAGAGACGGTTTTGGCTGGGGTCTCGCGGCAGCATGAGCATGGTTGGGGGAAAATGAGTCCCTCTAGGATACCACAACAATGCATCCCTATAACTTTGTCATTTTCGTGGGGGCGTCCTTTGTATCAGCGATGAGACTGAACCCCCCCCCCAAAAAAAAAAAAACAAAGCACCCCAAGAAATACAAACCTTGTATCACAGTAGATGGCGCGAAAACAACCAAAAAAGAAATTAATAATAATAACAATAATAATAATAATAGCAATATCAATAATAATGATAATAATAACAATAATATCAATAATAACAATAATAACAATAATAATAAAGCAATAACAACAATAATGATAATAGCAGTAATAATAATAATAATACAAAGATGATAATAATAAAACAATAACAACAATAACGATAATAGCAATAATAACAACAATCATAATAAATGGATAATAACAATCACGATAATACCAACAACAACAACAACAACAACAACAACAACAACAACAACAACAACAACAACAACAACAACAACAACAACAACAACAACAACAACAACAATAGTAATAATAATAATAAAACAATAACAACAATAATGATAACAGCAAAAAAATAACAACACTAACAATAATCATAAGAATAATAATAATAAACAACAATAGCAACAATAATGATAATAGCAATAATAACAATAATAATAATAATAACAATAATAATAATAAGACAATAACAACAATAATGATAATAGCAACAATAACAACAACAATAAACAATAATGATAAAAACACTATAACAGCAATAATGATAATAGCAATGACAACAACAAGAAGAAGACAATAATAATAACAAAACAATAACAACAATAATGATAATAGCAATAATAGCAACAACAAGAAAAATAAGAATAATAAAACAACAACAATAATGATAATAGAAATAAAAACAACAAGAACCATAATAATGATAATATTAATAAAACAATAACAATAATAATGATAATAGCAATAATAACAACAATAATAAAAATACTAAATAATAATAATAAAAAAAATAAAAAATAAAATGATAATAGCAATAATAGCAACAACAAGAAACATACAAATAATAATAATACAACAATAACAATAATGATAATAGAAATAATAGCAACAACAAGAAAAAACATATTAATAAAACAATAACAATAATAATGATAATTAATAGACATAATAACAATAATAATAATCATAATAACAATAATTATAACAATAATAAAACAGCGATGAGCTTCTGAGCTTGAAACCCGCGAGCTCCAAGTGGCTTTCGCTTCCCACTCCGAAAAACCGCCCTGGCCTCAAGGGTGGCCTCAAGGGTGGCCTGGCAGATCGGGCGAATGGAAACACACGTGGCACATGGCTCTGTGGGCGAGCCCTGTTTTGGTTGGCTTGAAAGGAAAACCAGAAGGAAACCCATCTTTTTCGGGGGGTCCCCTAGAAAAGAAACAAGCCATCGTTGCACCTGCAACTGTTTCTGGAATCTGAGCGCACGTCGACTTGAGAATGTTGTTGGGGGGCTCCCCACCCCATTTGGCACCACTCTCAAAGCACACAACTTTGAGCAATCTCGCCTCGAGGCACCCTGCACCTGCCCAATCGAATTCGACTCGACTGATGATGGAGCCGCTGTGGCCTTTGCCTTCCTTTTGAAACCCCAAAACTGGGTGTCGAATCTTGAGACAGACTCACTAAATGATTGATCTATTGGAGGTTCAGAAAGCCCCAGTTCATCCAACAGATCATCGCTTTGCCCCAGCCTGTGGATTCTCTCGCATCGCCTGCGCCACGAGCAGGTCGCTGGCATTTGAGAAAGCGTCTGACTGAGGTGCGCACTGGATGAATCGCAAGCGCTGACATCGTCCAGCACCTTACCAACAAAAGTGCCATGTCTCGAACAAAGCCGAAAGGAACACAAATCCTAGCAGCAAACACAAACATTCACCAGATAGTTGTTGTTTCCTTTTAATTATGAGTTTGACATTACCTTTTCTGGCCACCATGCTGCTGCTTCTGGCACTCTGGCAAGCTTCCTCTTCCGTAGACACAGCCATGTCATTCTCTTCCGGATGGCAGCAAACAAGTGGCGTGCTCGCTGGCCATTCTGCTTTGCTCAACACACTCAGCCCGGCTCCGACTGCGGCGAGGCGGAAGAGGGCGAGGGCGAGCGGGGCCCGTAGCGGCGTCCCTGGCCAGCGTGTGACAACCAGATCTCCCACGTTCAACGGACGCGTAAAAAGCCGCAGCCTCGCGTGGTGTGACAAGAGATTGCTTGAATAACAATGCACTCCCAGGATTTTCAGCAGCCATGGGCCTTTGAGCCCAGGTGCAAGCAACGCTACCAGCACTTTCCATCAATGCTGCTGCGTACCTGCCTGCTGTTGTGAAGGTGAGTGCTTCCAACAACGCCACAAGGTTAGCTAAGGCTCTAGCTCATAAAAATCGGAGTTAAAAACTCACACAACACCCCACGGATTCCCGAACTACGCTCAGAGTTCGCTCCGACCATCCATGCTACGCGTTTGCAGCTGGATGCGCAACTCGCCAAGGACATGGGCATTGTTCAAATAGAGGGACCTCCAAAACGGTGGTATTCCTTGTTGTTTCCTTTCAAACTGACGTGCAAAGGGTGCCCTCACACATGCAAACGCACACGTGACGCATTTTTTTGTCAAATGCCCAGACTTCTTGTGTGCAAACCCCCCTGGCTTGCGAGGCCCTCCTGAAACAGGCAGCTGCAGAGGCGCGTCAAGCCCATTCGCGCAAAGACACTACATCATTGCTGCGTTGCTTGGATGTCCATGTTCACTATTGGCAGGATTGAGCCACTCAGCATGCAGGATTTGGCTGGAGGCGCGCATCATTGCTCCATTGTGTTCTCTCTTCCGACATGGGGACTAGGACTCCTTACGAGCTAGGGCTCAAGCGAGCGGGTTGCTGCAAAGGCTGGCTCTTGCAATCCCACTGAACTCCCATGTGACCGATCTCCTTGAGCAAAGAGACCATGTGACACTGAAGAGACGTGGCTTCTGGGTCACCGAATGTGAATGCGTCGAGATGCTTGGAAGCAGAACATAAGATCATGGCTGTCGAGTGTTTGCTCCGGGAGTGGTGAAGCTGACGTCAGTGCCAGCATCCCAGTCTGTCGGCAGCCGATGCTTCCCAACAAGCGCCCTGGGGCCAAGCACGTGGCCGGCAGCGGGCAACGCCTGGCGCTGTTAGGGAACCGAAAATCAAAACGCCCGGCTGCCCCTCTGCCCTCTCTTTGAACATGACCTTTGATTGGCCCTCTACCTCTCTCCGGACTTACCCTTGGCCTCTCCAACAGGAAAGCAAGGTGTCCAAACTCTAGGCCCCAAAGCCTCCATGCCAAACTCCACAAAAAACAAAAAAAAACACCGGTCCCCCGCCCACCCACCCGCCCAAAGACCCGTCCTGCACGGCCAAGGCCATGGCACGACCGCGAGGCCGCCAGGCCGCAAGAGGCCGCCCCTTTGGGTGGAAGGCTCTGAGACTTGGAACACTTTAGGTTTGCTGGGCTTCGCATACTTTGTTGGAGGCTGGCCGTAGTTGCCTTCTTGTGATTCTTGTTTCGTTGGGACTGCGGCATGATGTGCTGTTCGGCAATTGTTCTTTTGTCAGCTGAAGCGCGGCCGTGCAAGCAAACTGAGAACCAACACCACAGCTGCGCGGCTTCACCGCTGCAACACGATCAAATATGACAAGCCATCAACCAATGCTGAGCTGAGAGTTAGCTTCGCGTCTCATGGAGCGCCCCTTTTGCTTCAAGGCCCATGCCCAGAGTGCAATGTTCAAGCGCTACAATCCCACGCCAAGCGCGTGTGGAGCAGCTTCCTACTACCGAAACGATAAGCGTCGTGACGCGCCACGAGAAGCTTCCCCGCATCGGACTCCATTCAGAAGTATTCCAGGGCATCGGACTCGCCCTGAAGGGAAACATTCCATCGTGTTTCGTCGCAGCAAGACGCACGTTCCCTGGCTTGCGTCTAAACCAACTCTCTTCGAACCCGAAGCATGATTGGCACGGTCTCCCTTAAAACCAACCCCAAGGCACCCTCGAAAAACGCACCGCCCCATGTGGCTGTGGCATGGGATCCCATTTTGGTTGACAGGTGCATTCACCACCCATTTTAGTCTATTTCAGTGGGAATTGGGATGTTCACTGGGGGTACGATTTGGGTCTTGACCCATGGCCATGCCTCTTTTTTCCAGCTCCCAAAAAGGTTTGGTGCACCCGACTTTCGCGCCTTGTCGACCTGCACGCTGTGCACTGATGGTGGCGCTCCCGTGTGCGGCAGCGGCTGGTGAATGCCTGACTGCTCCGAGTGGGGAGGGCACTTGGGCCGTCCAAATGATTTATGTGGCGAAGTTAGTGAGCGGAAAATTGTGAGTAGGCGGTAACGTGGTACCTTAGTGACTGGGAAAGCGAGGCAAAGCTAGTGAGTGAAGTGAAGGTGGCAAAATACGTAAGTGAGCTCCAACCATGGAAGAGGTCCCTAGAGGTCACTCACAGTCCCTTGCTTCGCCTGTGAGAAGGGTAATCCTGATCCTTTCACGCGAAAGAGCCGTTGTCCCCAGGCAAGTCCCGAAAATGCATGGTGAGGGGGGCTGCATCGCTCTGCTTTTCAAGCCAGCCTTGAAACAAAGCAGCACGCTTGCACTCCAAATCAACAGCTACTATTTGCCCTGAAACTTTCGGTCCAATCAATCGACCCAATCCAGGCAAGCTACGCACATGGCAGAATTTGCCATCGCCCACTTTGACCTGCGAGCAAACACGTGACCCGTCAGTTCAATGCTCACTGCCATGCTTCCATACTTCAACATGCTGCCAGAAGCATCTAGTGCAAGCTCTACTTGTACCAGGTCACAAATGTGGCTTCGGAGGGTTCCGTAGGCTGGTCAAAAATACTAAGTTGGCATTGTCTGCAAATGCAGTGCAGTCACACATTAGCTCCATGCATCAATGCGCGTGTGTGGGTGTGTTGGTGTGTGTGTGGGTGTGTGTGGGTGTGTTGGTGTGTGTGTGTGTGTGTGGGTGTGTGTTGGTGTGTGTGTGTGGGTGTTTGTTGGTGTGTGTGTGTGTGTGTTGGTGTGAGTTGGTGTGTGTTGGTGCGTGTTGGTGTGTGTTGGTGCGTCTTGGTGTGTGTGTGTGTGTTGGTGTGTGATGGTGTGTGATGGTGTGTGTTGGTGTGTGTTGGTGGGTGTTGGTGTGTGTGTATGCTTTTTTGTGTGTGTGTGTGTTGGTGTGTGTTGGTGTGTGTTGGTGTGTGTTGGTGTGTGTTGGTGTGTGTTGGTGTGTGTTGGTGTGTGTTGGTGTGTGTTGGTGTGTGTTGGTGTGTGTTGGTGTGTGTGTGTGTGTGTGTGTGGTGTGTGTTGGTGTGTGTTGGTGTGTGTTGGTGTGTGTTGGTGTGTGTTGGTGTGTGTTGGTGTGTGTTGGTGTGTGTTGGTGTGTGTGTGTGCTTGTGTTGGTGTGTGTTGGTGTGTGTTGGTGTGTGTGTGTGTGTGTATGTGTGTTGGTGTGTGTTGGTGCGTGTGTGTTGGTGTGTGTTGGTATGTTGTGGTGTATGTGTGTTGGGGTGTGTGTGTTGGTGTGTGTTGGTGTGTGTTGGTGTGTGTTGGTGTGTGTTGGTGTGTGTTGGTGTGTGTTGTTGTGTGTTGGTGTATGTGTGTTGGTGTGTATTGGGGTGTGTTGGTGTGTTGGTGTGTGTTGGTGTGTGTGTGTGTGTGCACAAGCCCTGCATTGCAACGCATTTTCGGCAGCACAATTCAGTTTGACTAAACTGCACCCTTTCACAAAACTGATATCCTCAATCAGCTGCCCGAGCATCAGGCTGTGCATGTGAGCTGAGCCGGATGCGAGAGTAATCCCCGTGCCAGACTGGGTCGGACCAAGAAAGCAAAGATGACTGCGGGTCAAAAATACGTACCCAACATGGAACCCTAGTAAATGAAAAAATAAAGCCAGCGGTCCAATTCCTGGTGGCTTAAATTCTGACCCAAACCAATTCCAAAGCCGAGGCTGCCTTGGGCTCCGAGCCACAGACTTTTCTTGGGGTAGGTTTTGGTGGCAGAGCACATGGGGCTCATATGGCCATGGGTCAAGACCCAAATCGTACCCCAGTGAACATCCCAATTCCCACTGAAATGGGTTCTAAAATGGGTGGTGAATGCACCTGCCAACCAAAATGGGATCCCAAAACGGCTTTGACAGCAGCCATATGAACACGGACCAAAAGAAACATCTCCGCCTTCACGAAGTAGTTGGTGCCAGCCACCACCTGAACCGAAGAGCTGCCCCAAAGAGCCCCAAGGAGCTTCAAGCCAACTTCGCCTGCCCGTGACTTGTTCACATTGTAGGTATATTATATATACATACATCTCCCAGGATCTATCGTACGTTTTCTTGAAGAAATTTCAACGTTTGTTGTGAGATGCACAATCATGAAAGCTTGTGTGCGAAACCCCCGGCCGGATTCTGTCTCTGGGGCATTCGCATACCAAACAAGCATGCATGCTTACAGTGTGTTCTTGTGCTCTAATCTTGCAATGTTTAAAAAACAAAAGTATTTCATGTGTTCGGACATGTGCACTAACTGAACCATATGTAAGCTCGGTTTGACTCTTCCTACTGCATGCAAATGCATTTACTAAAGAAACTACTCATTTCGAAGTACAAGAGACATGAAGAACCAAGCAAAACATAAACTTTGAGGGAAAAAAGAGGCGAAAAGCAATATTGGGGGAGAGTTGGACTCGGCCTCAAACTGTGTCTTGTTTGTTTCTCGAGGGTTGTGTTCTTGTTGGTGTTCCCTCAGTTTGTGTCAAGGATTTTTGACATTGTCCCTAACCAGTTGGTTCTTTGAAGGGCCAAATGCGCACAAACCAAAACCGACTCGAGCTGTTTGGTGTTTGTGAAGGGCAATGTGAAAACAACAAAAATACTGTGGGAAAAAAAGGAAAAGCAACGAGAATGCCAGAAAGAAACAAAGTTTGGTGGCTGAAACCCTCTATTCTCCCTCAGGGAATGTTTTATACTGGATTTTTGGGCTTGTCACTTGTCCCTCCCAAAAACAACAAAAATGTTGCGGCGATGGTGCGTCTTGCGAGCACACACAAAAAACAAACTGAGTTGCTCGGTTCGCGGGCATTGTCCATCAAGCTGCTGCCATTTTTGTTGGTTGAGATCTGCTCTCAAATGTTTGTGCTGAAAGTGTGACCATATATACACACGCCGTGCTGCGATACGCATTGACATCTTTTGCTGAACCGTTTACCAGCACTGATTGAACAGATATTGGAACCTAAATAGAGCTCAACAAGGAAGGAATTGAAAATAATATTTGAGTTTGAGGCTGAATACAATAGTTTCAAGCCTCCCACAAGGTTGAAGCTCCTGATGGAGCTCCTTATGCGGCTTCTTATCTTCTCATAACGCTCCTTACAAGCCTCATTGTAAAGCTCCTTGTAGAGCTCCCTTGAAAGCCTTGAAAGCTGCTTGTCGGGCTAGTTGTCAAGATCCTTGTGCAGCTCCTTTTCAAAGCTCCTTGTCCTTGCGCCAACCCTTCTAACGGTGCTTGTACAGTTCCTTGTTCTCGCCTCTTGTGACGCTCCTTAATAAAAGTCCGTAAATGATTTTGTCAAGGGTCCTTAGAGTGTTGATTGTTTAGAACAATGAGGATTAACAAACCGCGCTGAACAAATCATAATGAGAACCTAAAGGCATGTTTTCCACCTCCTGGGCGGTTGTGTCTGAGTCTCAACGGTGCCTCAACAGCGGGTAGCTGTTGAGGGAGTTCTTGGAAACGACACCTCGTCGTTCGTTCATGATCCTCAAGAGGGCATGTCAACATCCGAAAGCAACAGAAACTGTTGACTTCTCCCTTTCTGTAAGCTGTCGGCTGAATCCAAAGCCAATTACTTCGCCAGAACTTCACGGGGGTGAGCCTCTCTTGATAAAACAAGAGCAGGCACCCCTCCGCTGCAGGGCTCAGGGTTCCCTCAAACAGCTCCCCCAAAGAAGTGATAGTTGGCTCCTTGCTTGTCCCCAAAGGGAAACATCATCCTGTGGATGTTTCTGGTCCATACATGATGCCCATCTAAACCCGCCAGACGTGTGAAGGGAGCTGCCAACTTGGCCAGCCTTGCCTGAGTAGAGAAGCTGTGCGCCTCAGTGAAACGTGGACAAACAAAACGCAGCACCAGAACGTGGCACTGGGATAGGGCGACATGGCTGCGCGAGGCCACGACGGTGAACTCGGGGAAGAGCCCATTCCAGCCGGCAGCCTGCGCCTAGCGCGCTCTTGGCTGGCACCCTCACCACCCGGCCTTGGATTGCTGAGGGGTGAATGGCTCCTTGAGCCAACTCCACACCCCACACCCCGTCCGCATCGCCCACGCCTTCTCCTGGGTTTCGTTCTTCAGTGCCTCGCACATGGCCTTCACCTCATCCGTCGCCTCCTTCGCGGCAGAAGTGCCACCAGCCCTCGGACAAGGCTTGAC